GAAGATAGGCGCATGCTGGGGACTTTGCGGGTACAGCTACATCAACAGAGCCCCTCTATCATGTACAGATATGTACAGTATAATACAACAGCAGTCTTCAAGATAGCATTCTTAACTCTTGACATTTCTCAGCTTTCCATTGGGGAAACATTGCCAAGATGCTGAGGCTGTCCATGTGTGATCCTCCTGGTTGTCCTGGCAATTTGCCAGCAAAGGTCGATGTGCCAGGAAAGAAGCTGCTCGGCTTGGCTTGGACACTCTGGGTATGAGTTCTGCAACACTTCTTGGAAATCTTTGGAAATATTTGGTATCAGTTCTTTGGAAATCTCTGGAATATTTTTTTGGGGAAATATGTTGGTTTCGGGAACAGCGCTGCTCATGAGATGCCTATGCGACCAGATCAAGTCCACTATTTGGATCAGTGCAACTTACATGACACTTTTTGCACTCGTAATATGTCAACGAGATTCAGCGAGTATGTCAACGCATGTCAACGCAGTCCGAACACGACGCCACATGTTGATGTTATGCGTGAGTTAATTTTAAACGATAGTTTGAAGCTAGAGCAGCTGAGATCAGCTGAGGTGGCTGTTGGGCAGCTTGGCTGGGTGACTGATGTTACTGCAGAGCCTGCATTCTCCATCAGCCGGACCAGACCTTTGCATGTCCTGAGGATATTGTCTCGCGGGGGCTGTTGTTTCAAATCTGATGGTCACCGCACCAGTCGTGTTGTGCCTTCGTTGCAAACTGGGCGTTTGAGATTGTCTTGGGACAGTGACTTAGTGACTAAATATTGGATGGGAAAGATTAAAAAAGAAAACCATTGGGATTGGAATGGCCTCCAGTCCGAACAAGAGCAATGAAGAAACTGTGTCCATTTGATCCCATTTGTGCCCTTTTGTGCCATTGTGTGCCCGTGTTTTGGAGGTACTGTGTGTTCCGCGTACTGGAAAACGAGCACGCCGTGGTAACTCACCCATTGGTGAATGGAGTGCTGAGGGTGGCTACAGTGTGTCTTGGCTCAGGAATTTTGTTCGCATAGTCCAGTCCACTTTCATTTGATGATTTCGCACATTTGGTAGCAGAGCATGTTGTTGCTGTACTTGATGCAATTACAAGGGAATAACTCCAATGGATTTTGATTGAAGTGAGTTGCATGATTTATTAACATGTTATTTGCGCGGGGGGGGGCAGGGCGGGCAATAAACGCACGGAAACGTGACCCTTGCACGCGAGGACCATTGCTGTGTTGATAGCCCTTTTTTTGCCGCATTTCACGGAAATTCTAGCAGCAACTTGGCAGCCAAGAAGCCTGGTGACCCCGACAATACAGTGAATTGCCATCCGCATTGAGGCTGAAGTAGATCGAGTTTTCTTTGCATCAAACGACCGGAGGTCATTTCTACGGGATTGTTGACGGTGCTTCAGGTTTTTGTCCTCAGCCTCAGTGCCAAATTGACAGTTTCATCTCACGCATACCCTCGAAGTGTTGCTTGCACGCCAGAATTGGCATTGACATGGTTTGTATATGTTTGTATATGTTTGTTTTTTATTTTTGAAGTAATTAAAACACCGACGTTTCCGGAAAACCCATCCATCCCAATTTTGATCCAACGGCAAAGTCTCATGACCAGGTTTAGCAGTTGGTGTAGTTCCTATCAATGTTGGTGTTGTCCTTATCCCATCCATTGCATGATTTGAGGTGCCAGTGGCTGTGACGCTGGCATTGCGTGGTTTTGGATTTCGCGTGTTTTTGCTCTCTGTGTTGGGCACAGGCATCTTGATTGCCAGGGTGGGACATGGGCAGGCCGGCAATTTACAACATGAATAACATTGAATAACATGATAACCCGCTGTATTTGGCAACAGGGATCTGGGAAAACGAATCGAAAAATCGAGAATCAACTCTGTTTTCTATTCAAAAATCCAGGGATTGCAGATTTTAATGACGTGTCAATACTCAATTGAACCAATGGGATGCGTCATGACCGTCATGTCTGTGTCGTGGGTTCCACCGAGGTATGCTAACTGCTGGTATGCATGGGCCTTGGCAAAACAAACGAGGATACATGAGGGAAATATGCCCGATCTGGAGTTTAGTGCAGGGTAATGTATTCTTCACCGTTCAGGATATGACAGCTGTCTAATTTGCGTGTAGCCCACAAATTGTTTAATGATTTGTTTTAATTAGTTCAGATTTCAGTGCATTCAGCATGTTCCATTAATTTTATCATTTTCAAAAAGTAGCGTGAGGTGTCCTCTTAAACCGTGGCAACATTTCTATGGCAGAATTTTGAAGCGAAACCGGGCTATTGAAATTGAATTTCTGGACCTAAGTTTCGTTTCCGCTCACACCAATTGAGTTGATCAGCGTGGCATTTGCATACATTTGCGTGGAGAGAAAGCGTTCAAGACACAGATAGACACTATTTCCTCGTGGATTATTTGCGAGAGGTCCAGTGCCCTGAGAAACCTGTACACGGTCATTGCAGAAGGCTGAAGCCGTGCCAAATTTTGCCAATGCCAAAGAGAATTGGATGGTTTTTGCTCGACTGTGGCCACGATGGCCACGTGGTGGGGCCGATAACGAGAATGTGACCCGTATAGAGTATAGCGGTTTGCGCTTGAACCGGCAATGGCCGGCAAGTCACCAATCCGACGTCGTCAAACTAGGAGGTCGGCATAGCCTAGGACACCCACACCGACGGTGAAAGGGAAAAACTGCGGCAAGAGGCCTGATAGTTGCCACATGGCGTGGACGTGGGATGGATACAAGGTATGTTTGGTCAGGATTTCTGGCAAATGAGCTGCCGATGTTTCTTCAGGGTCAAGAGTAAAGAAGGCAAAGAAGGCTGTTCAGTCTCGTGAGCTAGTTGGTTGCGACCTGACACAGCCTTTCAAAAGGTTGGAAATGAAGCTTGACTACCTGTGCAACAGAGATTTGATAAAGTTTACGACTCCTTGGATCATCAGTGTGTTGAACATGTTGTTCTTTGAGGAAGGAGGATTTTGGCATTGGGTGCATTGGGCCAATCCCCATCTATGTGTTGTTTATGTTGTTTGTCCCCTGATTCCTTTGCAAAGTATTCATACGCTGGTAGGATTTGGAATGCCTACATCGATTGTAGCATGTTTGGTTCGAGGCAGCACTTGAGTCAACGATTCAGCCTGAAACTATCTGAAACTGTTCTTGCAATCTGTAGCACAGCCAGCATTTTCCAGCAGCTCTTTGTATGTCCCAGTCAGAAGCAACACTTGAGAGATCTTGAAAAACAGTTTTCAAAACTCAGCATTTCACTCCTAGCATACTTTTTCCAGGTATTGAGGCCAAGACAAGGAACGATCTATACAGAGACAGAGGACTTAGACCTGGAAAGGCATAAGGCTACAACATGCTACGTGCCTATATGGATTACACGGCACACATTCGCATTTCTATGCATTTGCCCCATGTCACAGTGAAGGATATGATGCAAACTCAATAGACGCTTACCAAATCATCTTATGCCACCCCTCAGCGGTTTCTCATGGCGCAATGTCAAGGACTTGGACTCCGAGTGGATAGGAGATCATAGGAGTGTTGTGTTGAAGTGTCCTGCTCAGGTGTCGTAAGTCCCCTTTCTATCCCTTTCTGAGATAACTTGGTTTTCCATTGAGGTGACATGGTGATACATCAACCCTTAGTCTCCATTTGAGGAGTCTTCAAAACCTCAGTGGATCGATGATTCGTATTGATCAATCATATCGACTTCTACATGGTTCTACTATCCAACATGTTGATACATGTTGGGGATTGTCACAATCCAATACAATCCATTGTTTTGAAATCCTATTAACCAATATTACAAAAGCATTTGGATCCATTTGGTACACAGAAACTCACCTTGACGCAGCCCTAACAATGCGATTCGCAAAAAACACGCAACACGACACGTCGAAAGTGCTGCGCCTGCCCTGCAAAATTAACATGGAGGTCTCCAAAGTGCTATGCCTGCCACGAAAATGGAAATCATCTTCTGAAAACATCGCAAAAGTATTGCGCCCGCCACACAGAACGACTCTTGACATGTTATGAAACATGTTGGGATGTCACAAAGTGCCACGCCTGCCAGGCGAAACGAGGTTACGAAGCATTTGAAACCTCCAAAAGTGACCACTGTTACAGCACTCCCCATAGGTCCCCACACAGTCGTGCTTCCGACGGTTGCGGACGGTTGCGGACGGTTGCGGACGGCTGCGAACACAAAAGCAACGTCGAGCGAACACGTCTGAACCCCCAGACCCCAAAGTAAAACGAGAGCCCTTCGCTACGCATTCGGGAATTACTGTAACATTGACACCCTAGTGTGAACCATTACTTCTATCAAAAGAACACAGTATAAGATCAAGTATAACATTTAAAAACACAAACACATATAAAGCGCAACAAACACTTAAAAACACGAGCCCAGATAGCGTCATGCTTCGTTGCCGAGGCAAGGCATCGGCTTTGCTTCGCCAGGCACGCGGGACGTTTCGCCGCGATTTTTTTCCATCTCAATTCCTGGTGCTGGAGAATCAAGTTTCTATGTGAATGACCTCGATTCATTTGCAGATGATGTAACAATATGTAAGAATCTCTTGATGAACTGATCGAATTAAATCGCAGATTGTGGATGATTGTGGCATGTATCAATGTTTTTCCATGCATAGTTTCATTCAGAGCTTTGCAGTACTGTAAGGGAAGACAAGTCACACATGAGACCGACCAAGGTGACTTTCTGATCAGAGTCCTTGAGATTGGTTAGGCACAAAATGTGACTATTCACGTTTAGCATCGTTTAGCGACTTTGGTCAGGTAGCGCCTCGCCAACCAAGGCCAGTGCGGATGATACAATACCAAACTTAGCTGGAACAAAAAACAGAGAAGCATGTCATGCCATGTCATCATGTCATTCGTGTTGACATGTGTTGAATGTGTGATGATTGGCAGATATTTGCAGTGATGATGAACGATTCTGCAAATGGGATGAGGAGATGTTCATTTGTACATTGACACATTCATACTAAGATGTACTAAGTCAATCTAAGTCAAGAGTCAACGAACTGATTTCGCCTGGAACTCACTGGGAATTTCTAACGGGTGACAGATAGTGACAGTGCTCTCTCCAGTTCCTTGGGAGTTGGGACAGATCTCTGAGGCGACTCAATGGGCTGCCGTGCCGGTAAAGATAGATGCCAGGCTCGGATCATGCAAATTCATGAGATCTATTCGCAAATATATGATGGATCGATGGAACATGATGGAACATGATGGAACATGATGGATCAATGATGGAACATGATGGAACATGATGGAACATGATGGAACATGATGGAACATGATGGAACATGATGGAACATGATGGATCATGATGGAACATGATGGAACATGATGGAACATGATGGAACATGATGGAACATGATGGAACATGATGGATCAATGATGGAACATGATGGAACATGATGGAACATGATGGAACATGATGGATCAATGATGGAACATGATGGAACATGATGGAACATGATGGAACATGATGGATCAATGATGGAACATGATGGAACATGATGGAACATGATGGAACATGATGGATCAATGATGGAACATGATGGAACATGATGGATCAATGATGGAACATGATGGAACATGATGGAACATGATGGAACATGATGGAACATGATGGATCAATGATGGAACATGATGGAACATGATGGAACATGATGGAACATGATGGAACATGATGGAACATGATGGAACAATGATGGAACACATGATGGAACATGATGGAACATGATGGAACATGATGGAACATGATGGAACATGATGGAACATGATGGAACATGATGGATCAATGATGGAACATGATGGAACATGATGGAACATGATGGAACATGATGGAACATGATGGATCAATGATGGAACATGATGGAACATGATGGATCAATGATGGAACATGATGGAACATGATGGAACATGATGGAACATGATGGATCATGATGGAACATGATGGAACATGATGGATCAATGATGGAACATGATGGAACATGATGGAACATGATGGAACATGATGGAACATGATGGAACATGATGGATCAATGATGGAACATGATGGAACATGATGGACATGATGGAACATGATGGAACATGATGGAACATGATGGAACATGATGGAACATGATGGATCAATGATGGAACATGATGGAACATGATGGAACATGATGGAACATGATGGAACATGATGGAACATGATGGATCAATGATGGAACATGATGGAACATGATGGAACATGATGACATGATGGAACATGATGGAACATGATGGAACATGATGGAACATGATGGAACATGATGGAACATGATGACATGATGGATCAATGATGGAACATGATGGATCAATGATGGAACATGATGGAACATGATGGAACATGATGGAACATGATGGAACATGATGGAACATGATGGAACATGATGGATCAATGATGGAACATGATGGAACATGATGGAACATGATGGAAATGATGGAACATGATGGAACATGATGGATCAATGATGGAACATGATGGAACATGATGGAACATGATGGAACATGATGGATCACATGATGGAACATGATGGAACATGATGGATCAATGATGGAACATGATGGAACATGATGGAACATGATGGAACATGATGGAACATGATGGAACATGATGGAACATGATGGAACATGATGGAACATGATGGATCAATGATGGAACATGATGGAACATGATGGAACATGATGGATCAATGATGGAACATGATGGAACATGATGGAACATGATGGAACATGATGGAACATGATGGAACATGATGGAACATGATGGAACATGAACATGATGGAACATGATGGATCAATGATGGAACATGATGGAACATGATGGAACATGATGGAACATGATGGAACATGATGGAACATGATGGGAACATGATGGAACATGATGGATCATGATGGAACATGATGGAACATGATGGAACATGATGGAACATGATGGAACATGATGGAACATGATGGAACATGATGGAACAATGATGGATCAATGATGGAACATGATGGAACATGATGGAACATGATGGAACATGATGGAACATGATGGAACATGATGGATCAATGATGGAACATGATGGAACATGATGGAACATGATGGAACATGATGGAACATGATGGAACATGATGGATCAATGATGGAACATGATGGAACATGATGGAACATGATGGAACATGATGGAACATGATGGAACATGATGGAACATGATGAACATGATCAATGATGGAACATGATGGAACATGATGGATCAATGATGGAACATGATGGAACATGATGGAACATGATGGAACATGATGGAACATGATGGATCAATGATGGAACATGATCATGATGGAAATGATGGAACATGATGGAACATGATGGAACATGATGGAACATGATGGAACATGATGGAACATGATGGAACATGATG